CTAAAGGGCTAATGATAACTATTAAAACGCCTACCATTTGATAAAAATGAATTAATCTTCAGGAAATTCAAACGAATCCTATATAGTGCTTTTGAACTATAAACTGGAGTACTGTTCTACGGGCACTTTGATCAACAAGAACTTCTAGATTTAAATCTTTTGAATCTTATGAAAATTACTGGTAGCTAAAAATCTACATCCCAGAGTGTCATCGTTAATGCTGATGGTGCATCAATGCAAGCCTGTTCAAAATATTAATGAGGTAACCAAAACACTTTTTTGTCCTTTGGCGTTTCAACATTCAGATTACGTGGTTTGTCGACTGGATTACTGAGTGAATCCCTGTCAACCGTACTCAACGAAAGTTCATTAACCGGTTAATTAGAATGATTGGTCTTAACGCACAATGAGAATTTACTTAATTTGGGCAGAATAGAATCCATAATGTTTTGTTTGACATTTCAAAATTACGCAATCAAATGAATATAAGAATACTATAAGAATGAATTACCTTTACCAGTAAAATCAGATATTTGCACTCAGAAACCGAAAATTAGTAAACCTTTTCCGAAGCTTAGTTAGAGAGGTATTAACGAGACTTGATTGGGGTTGAGGATGCTCTCTTACCACTTTTACTTAAAACTCACCTCTCCCCCCCCCCCCCCCCCCTCCCCTCCTTCATACTGTCACCCAAACCAAACTAGTGCCACGTCAATTTTACATCCCCATTGCCATGCTAAGCATATGAAAAGCCACTCTGATTGTACTTTTTGATAGACCTTGCAAGATATGTGGTCCTTGCTCTTCGTTTAAATTTTCATAATTTGAAATCAATAACGTTCATTTCTTAATTATTTCAAGCCATTTATTGTAACACATATAAATATTTATTTTAACTCCTTTAACAGATATGCATGCCCTTGAAAATCATGCTCAATTTGGGAAATTAACTTCCTAGTATTCAATGGTTGAAAAATTTAATATTGTTTATTGAATTTCTTTTAAATATGGTTTCAATACCAGCTGTCTGACCAGTGAAATAAACCATTCCAATCGTTTATTTAGTTCTATTGGTGAATCAATAACTTAAAAACCTCCAAATATTGATCACCAAACTAAATCCGGTTTAATAAAGCTTCTTCGAATTCGGTATTTCAAATCTGCATTCATTTAATATTACAGTCTTATTTCACCTGATGATTTTTTAAATAGTCTTATTTGAAAGTATTAGTAAATTGCATTGTGTTTATGTACTTATATATATTTTTTTCTCTAGTTAATTTATTTTTTAGATTGTTCATATTAAATCTTTATCACTGGACTCAGTCATAAACGTCTACTTATCTCCTAAACCTTAAGCCTCCGTATTAAAGGAAGCGACGGATTTCCTGCTATATTTCCATAAACAGCGTATATGTGATCAATAACATGATCCAAATGGCCTTTCAAGCACTTTCATATATTAAAACCATAATGCGAAAATAGATTCTCGTGAAACTATAACAAAAAACTAGCATGGGGCAACTACCATTGTTGATTGAAAGTATACAAATAGTGCAGATGGGAGATATATTCCCACATTAGGCTACATAAAAATAAAAAACTTAGACAAGATCTTCTTTCATAGAAATAATGGTTTCCTAGGGCTGGCAGCATATAATGACTTCTTCGACAGTAATATATATGCATAAAGATGGGATAGATAACGATAAATTGATAAATTTGTCTTTCTGAGTAGATCCAGTATGTATAGTGAGGAATTCGACGAAAAATACATATCTCTAATTTATCAATGGGAGTGAAAGCTTTTTCTGTTTAAATTATACTCATATCTGTTCTGTTTAAGTTTTGGTTTGAGGAGTCTCAAATTCAATAGCGCTTAGCATTAAGTCAATGTCACTCGATATTCAGTTGAAATATTTTGTTAAAAATAAAATGAAAATCTCGATGACCTACCGAAAAATTATTGTTTGGCCGTATAAGGTTAAAAATTGCAACTTAAAAATGCACTATTGATTAGTAAAAGGAATTTATTTGTTATGTTCAGCATTTAATTTAACTGGAGTAAACGAATTTCATAATTTATTGAAGAATAAAATACTTCTCAAAGTCATTGGCATTTTTTGTTTTATGGAGTACACATCTATACACGTAATTAGTATTTTCGGGCGTTGAATATGGGCTTGGAGCTATGGTTGCTCCTCCTTGTATCCTTTGCCACGGTTGCTGTAATGATTGCGTTTTTTGTAAGCCTTTAACTTTACTCAAAATTTCAGGCTTTAATATTCCTCTATCTTTCTACTAATCCCTATCCAGATATTGAGAGAGAACTTTCAGAAAAATTATTTTATGATCCAAAAACTGCAGAATACTTGAAATTCCCATATGGTCTTAGTCAAAGACCTGAAGTTGAGCTGTCTGTAATAATACCTGCCTACAATGAATCACAAAGGCGTATGTTCTTAATTATTTTAATCACTTTATAGTTCCAAAAATGTTGGATGAAGCTCTTGCTTACTTAACTTCACGTGTAATGTCTCAATCGAAATTTACTTATGAAGTTATCATTGTCGATGATGGAAGTATTGATGATACTTACCAGGTGGGCGTTATTTTTCCATCTGACTTTGCATCAAGGTTGCTCTTTCGTATTCAGAAAAGAATACTTCTAACGTTGTCCGTGTTTTAAAACTCACGCGTAATCGAGGAAAGGGGGCTGCTGTTCGGTTTGTAAGTTTTTTTTTAAGTCATCAATATTCGAGCTTTTTTTCTTAAACAGAATTTTATTTTAGGGCATGCTCTCAGCCCGAGGGAAATTTTTATTATTTGCCGATGCGGACGGTGCAACTCGTTTTCGTGATATTGAATCATTAGAGAAACAAATGGCTCGTATGATTTCATCAAAATGGGTAAGTTGTAAAACGGTAACCTCACACCTGGTATTTACATTTTTTCTATAAGTATCCTTCCTTTAGGATGGAGGAATGGCAGTGATATGCGGTTCTCGAGCACATCTCCAGAAAGAGGCGACAGCGAAGCGAAATCCCCTTCGTAATCTTCTGATGCATGGCTTCCATTTCGCTGTTTGGCTCTTATGTGTTCGTGGAGTTAAGGACACTCAGTGTGGATTCAAACTATTTAGTCGTCGAGCCGCTCGTTTACTTTTTAGAAATCAGCACGTTGAAAGATGGGCGTTTGATGTAGATCTTCTCTATCTTGCTCAACATCTTTCCGTGGAAATTTGTGAGGTTCCCGTCAATTGGCAGGAAATCGAGGGTAAGAGTCTAACTTCTAGGGTCTTATTTGTATCGTATATATTTGTTCATTTTCTATCCCTTTAATAGGCTCAAAGATTGTTCCAATTTTCTCCTGGCTCCAGATGGCTAAGGACCTAATACTTATTCGGCTGCGCTACGCCCTCGGAGCCTGGAAAATCGAACAGTCGCATCATCTTGAATGAATAATTTACTTCCTATTCTATTTTACTTTGTCTATGTGTCTGTGCAACTTTATACCTAACCAAGTACCTTAATTTGCCTCAATTCGAATGTATGTTGTCTTTTGTCAACATGTTCTTATTATTCCATTTCTCCTGAGAAAATTGATATGTATCCTATTCTCCTGTTTGTGGACCTGCATCTGGTATCCAACTCTCCAAACCGTTTATGGAAGTTCACAATATTTGCTGGCCTTGTCTCCATATTTGTTGGTGCAATTTAAAATCATCAATTGAAGCTTCTTAGGCATACACGCCTCTCACATTCCACTCAAGCTCCTTTTTATAGTAGAGATCACGAGTGTCCACACAAAACTTACGGCTAGAATGAAGGAGTAGTATAAGTATCCTGTAATTCATTACCTCTACTTGTCTATTTTGAATTAGGATGCCTATATTCAGAGCTTCTGAACGAAGTCCAAAATTGTATTTGTTGACGAGCGACTGGACCTTACCAATGGCCTACAGATTTTCTCCTTCAAGATCTGAGAAACTCAGTATCTTAGAGATCCTGCGCTATCAGCACCGGTGTATGCAAATTGTGAGCTTATTTCTTTTGCACGACGTGAATTTTTCAATGAGCTGCGAGATTCGGAAATTCCCAAGCTAGTCTAGCTTCTGTGATATTAGATAGCGTGGTTGGCTCCACCGCACGATGACATATTCTCGAATTTGCAGGTCTGTTTTCCAATAGAAATCTCTATAGAAACAAGCACTGAATAAGCCAATTTTATTTTTCTCTAAGCCGATGAACTATTACGATGAGCATGAATATCCATAACAAGGTAAATAATTAACCTGCCATTAATTTCAGGTTCATTTGAATTCGCAGACTAATCAGGGAAAATTCACGTAATGGTGGTGGCCTACCATGACCGATTAAGTCAAATAAGCTGAAAAATTTAAAAGCAAATGAAGCAAAAACGTTAGTAAAAGATAATTCTATTAAAGGAAGTAAGTCATCCTGTTCCTAAAAAGCATACAAGTAATTTCCATAAAGTATGTTCAGTCTTCTTCTGGAACAAATATTTCGTTGTCCTCGAGAAATTTGGCACCCTGTTTACTTATGTAAGCTCCGCCAAAAAGAAATGGTGCAATAGTTAAAATAACTTTTAAGAATCCAAATCTGGTAATGTGGGGTGCGCCAGCTATAGCTCCGGTTGTTTTATATACACTCTCACCACATTGATAGTAATGATTGTGGTTTATGCGGGATCTGGAGAAAAAGTGAAACGCGGAAAGACCCCTTTGGTACATCCTCATAGGAGGCCTGAATGGAACGAATAGCTGGGCGAGACCTACAACTATTTTCTCTATTTCATTTAGCTAAACAATCGACCATAAAATCTAATTGATAGCCCGTTTTAATACCTAAATATAATATTTTCTATATTTTCAAGTATAAAAATGATGGTGCTTGATGCACATTTATATGCCCATTTTAAAATTTTTGCTTTTTAGAAGAAAAGCCATATCAGTATCATTCCCGTTTTCTCAGACTTTCAAAAGTTATCATCGTCAAAATACATCCTTACTTGATTGACATTCTAGCTGTTCCATCGTCCTTCATTGGTGACCCACCTAAAAGATTAATGACTTAAATACTGCATACACAAATGCATAGATTTATTCCAACTTATAAACATATCCAAAAATTGCTAAAAAATTTGGTTCATTATTAGAACTATATTCAGATATACTGGTAAACGTTTTTACTACTAGACTTTAAAATGCTGAGTTGTTTCATTCGGCTTGATATTGTAATGTGTTTTGGAAATATGTCTGAAGCGTGCTCCTATTTCACAATTAAAATATTAATTAAACTAAATTAAAAATATGCTGTGAGTTGTTCAAAAGGTTGATATCATGAATCCGTTTAGGAACACTAAAGTAGTTTAAAGCTATATTGGCCCATTAAACCCTAGCCCTGCCTATAATAGTACAAGCATTTTGATAACATTATAAGTCGTCAACATTTTGGAGTTGCAACTTACTGGTGTCTGGAAACACGACGGAAGCAAGCTTTAATTCAATTAACGGTTCTCTATTGAGGAAATATGTTTAGTTGTTAGAAATTGTAAATCGATAAATGTGTTATCTACAAGTTCACAAAATTGGCAGCCAACAGTTTTTCTATTTTGGATTTAAATGTCCAAGATTTTCGAAAATAGATAGTTCAGAATAAGAGTGATGAACTCGAACTCATGTAAAATATTTCATTTACATGCAAACGGTCTATAATTATTGAGGATATGAAATGTGCAGGGAAAACTCAAGACCAAAGGTACACGTTTTTTCAGCAAAATCAAACAAAGCTTGTAAATTAAATATAAACGGAAATAAATTCGCTGCTGAAGCGAACTCAGTCGCCTCAAAGGTCTGTCGTGACTATTTTTGTCCAAATTTACACATTAAAGACAAATTTATCTGTAACAGAACAAAAGTGCGTAGACGAAAAATTTAAATGCATACCAATTTTTTGCTTGTAAGTAGAGTTTTACATTTTAATCTAATAGAAAAATGAAGATGCAACGGATTTCCGCTTAAATATTTAATCCACGGAACACACGTATATAATATGTAACTGTCTTTAATTAACACTTAATCCGTACAAGAATAGATGGAAATATGTTCTGAAACTGAAATTAGGCGAATCTCCAGTAAGCTGTTGTAGTATTTGTAAAAGTTTTAAAATACCTTCTATTCACATGGATAATTTTTTTGCATTGATCAAAAATATTTTGCTTAACATTTATTGATACATTAAATTTTATTTTCAGTCATCATTAAAATGACATTTATGAATATAAGTTTGATTGCAAAATAATTAAATCTGTTCATGATACCTCTTAACAAAGAAACGTAACCTTATTAATCTAAAAATCAATAAACTAGACGTCTTATTTATGTTGTACAACGAATCTATAAAATTAATCAGATTGTATTTAGTTGAAGGTATACAATTTTTAGGCGTGATGAAAAACCTTGAAAAATTACTTTCAACGCCCCGCATTTTCCAAACGGCTACACTGACCCTAGGCAAGGTTTAGTGTGTATGGATTTTCATTCCCATTGGCAGATATTTGGAACTTTAATCTTCGTGTATAGTAAGACACTTTTATTGCATTAAAAATTTATCAATTTATTGCATTTTTCTTGAGTTATATTGATCATTAACAGTTATTATTAAAATATCTATAAAATAAATAGGGATTATGAAACATCGAATTCATGACTAACTAAACCAATTGGCTGGATTAATGAAGTTTGCCTTTATGATTTTCCGTTCGTAGTATATCATGGAACGCATAATCGAAAATATATCGGTGCCTCAAAATTCAATCATGCGTCCTCGTGATTTACGTTCGTCCAAAAAGAAAAGCGGATCCTCATTCTCCCGAGTTTCTGCTGCCAGAGCCTCATTGGGAGCCACAAGTTACACTTGGATGGAGGCAGCCGATCGATTAGAATCAGAGACAGCGGAATCTTCAACAACTTGGCCCAGAAGAAAAAAGGTCACCCTAATTTCCACTGATGACCTTAACTTTGAATATGATGAAAGTCTACTCAAAAGAGCTACGCTAGTTCCTTGTAAAGGGCCTTTTAATCTCAAACAGTCAAGTTTCTTATTTCAAGGTGTTTTTGATGGAGTAATAAAGTAAGCGGAAAAAGCCTAAAACTATCTTTTATTGGAATGATTCGTTCGTATAATATTTTATATAATTTAAGAAGGTATTGGGGCCTTCGGATAACTTCCTCTGACCCTTCTGCAAAAAATCAAATTCCACTTAGAAACGATGAAGTGATTGTGAGAGTTAATGACCATAATTTTATGAGCAAATCAAAGAATGAGTAAGTGATTTTCTTCAAAAGATAATATTTTATTAATATCGATGATTTGCACGGCTCCTTTTAGACTTCTAGTGATTCTAATTGAAGCGCTTTCCAAACCTCAAGTTAGCGTTATTTCAGCTCTAAGACAACAAGATTTCACTTTTCCATTCCCAAGCCCCAGTCCCATTTCTAGTAAGTGAAGAAGAGAATCTTGATCCTCTTCCTTTATGAAACGAGAATAACGGTACTTTATTTTAGCTGGTGAAAACTCAGCTCAACCTTCCAGTAGGTCGACAACGTCCCCAGTTTCTTATATAAAGGTAACTTTATAAACAAGCTCAAATAACTTAAATATGATTTTGTTGTAGCAATATTTATGTCAACATTTAATTGGTTATATTTCTATCTTTTGTAAAATCAATGTAGATTAACCACTATTGCCAAATTTTTAGTTTCAAATGGAACATCCACGTAATAGTTCTTTCGTTTTATCCATCGTTTATATTTATTCTGATCCGGTTTGTATACTAGTGTTTACGGGCAAGAAGTTTTATAAAATTTCTTTTGAATAGATCGTACATTTCTAATGTGAAACTCTCTTTAAGAAGCCACGTAGAACTTTGTAATTTCTATTAATTTACAACATTTCTTTTAGAATCTGAATGCATTCAACACCCGTTTAATTGGCCAACGTGTCACTGTTGACCTTCACAAATTAGCTGACGGTGGCTTCGGAATATCTTTTGCCACGCGAGATACTTGTGTGAATTCAGATGGCATAGAACCAATTTTTGTCGAACGAATTATGCCCAATGGAGCTGCGATTCACGACGGTCGAGTCCAGGTGAAATATCCTGTTTTGAATTGTGCACACTCGTTGCAATTTAATCTTACTCCATCCCATTATTCATCCATTTCAGTTTGGTGATCGATTGCTGTCTGTAAACGGAACCCAAATAACTACATTCAAAGATGCAATGAATGCACTTCGGTCAATTCCTGTTGGAGAGAAAGCGACCTTGGTATTCTCCCGACAGGAAGCCGTCGTTACGACAACACCCACCTCAACAGCAAGTCCAGTAGATTTTCCCGCAGATCCTTCCTCTAGAAAGGCCTTCAATTCCACGCCTGATTTTGCATTCGAAACTGTGAGTCTTAATTAATTTACTACTTCATAAATGGGTTCGTTTTAAGCAAAATATATTGTATGTTTGAAAAGCCTGTTTTATTGTATTTATTTTCAATGCTGTCCGTATTTTTAAGTTTACACTACTATTGCCTATTTCTAGCCACTATGCCAGAAGATGGTAATCAAAATCCCTGTACCTCATCCAAATTCTGGGTCATCAAGTCTTGGAATTCGATTTGAAGCATGGACTGAACCGAGGATAATTCATGCATACTCGGAGTACAATGGGTCAGATGTAGATGACAATTCAATGGTTGGAGATACAGATAACCTGGAGGAGAATCTCTCTGGTGTCTTTGTCAAGCTGATTGTGTCTGACGGTCCAGCTAGTAAAAGCAATCTTCGACCTGGGGATCAACTTATTGCTGTAAATGGACACAGCGTTATTGGAGCCTCGCTTGTGGTGAGATTTCAGATATTTAATACACTGTTAACTATTACACAACTGTTTTTAAAATCTCTTGACTATTTTACATACAGCTCACCGCAGTTCCTTAATAGCGTTTTCATCGCTCAACAAAACTCTGAGGCGCCCTTATATTAATTCCTCGAAATAATTGCTGTAAACCATCTCATAAGTAGCATATACATCAACGATGGAGCCGAATCGATTGCTTTCTGAACCCTTGGTACCTATTGAACTATTGGATCCAACGGATTCACGAGTTGTGGTTCATCTTTTTCAACCCTAACTACTATATCACTTTGAACTACAGCCACCCAAATTCCATTACTTTCCGCTCATTATTGACAATGAAATAGGTTTATTTCTAGTCATCTCCTACCTTTTGGTAATCAAAGGATCTATAATATGATTGGATCGCATTTAAATATTTCATGATTCTTAAAGGTCTAACGTATTTTGAATCTCATTTTCTTGAACAGGAGATCTCCACTCAACTCAAATCTTCCCTTCAAAAGGCCCAAGTTAAAATGGCGCGTCGGGAAAAACAAGTCTTCCTCAAGCTCACAGTCTCCCGATTCTTCCAGCGATACGAAAACTGTGACTCAGCTTCTAAAGCCAAGTCCATTCTTCGATCAACAGCCGACACTTCTTCTGACAAAATGTCAAATCAACAAAAGTAAGTAATATTTTAGTTTAAGTTCACCTTTAATTTTTGAATAACAATGCAAAATTCCCATAAATTTAGCCTTGACTCGGATCGGAAGGTAAAAGTTAAGGAAGAGAGTCCTGAAGATGACAACTCAACTGATCTCCCACCAAAAAGAATGGCTCGAACTCCCTCATTGGACTCACGAGGTCGATCCAGGAGAGATCAGGAGAGTCAATCGCCATCTGATTCACCCGTGCGCTGTCAATCCGCCTTCACAAGAGACGGTGTGGGACGTAGGAGTGTTTCGGAGAAACGTCATGCCCACATGAATGCCACGAACTTCTCAATATTCAATGAGAATGTTTTACCACAGCGAAACTTGGGCGATGATCAGTGTAAGTTATGCCACTAGGTCATACCTTTATATTATTCTTTTAACGAATAGCTTATTATGCTATTCTATTCTGCATCGTATCCCAGGGATAGCTACGTCCATGTCTGCCTTTCCATAAATTGGATGAATCAGTGATGGTTCTTGTCTTTTCTTCTCGTAAAAGCTAGGAAATGTGGGTACTGGAATGTCGGAGGGGAGATGAAAAAGTGAGAAGGCACTTTATATTGGAGAGCAGCTAAGTAGGAAGGAAGGATGGTTGATATCCTATTAGCATTGCCTATTGCTGAATGGCAGAAGGGATGAAGAATGAGTCATGAGTAGAACAATGTACACGAGGGGTAGTTCATTAAAGAAAATCGATAAGTAAACTAAGATGGGGGTTTATTGTTAATGAGACATGGCCTGTGTATTCTGATCATTTGCCATCTATAGGGATTAAGTCATTAAGTTACTTGTGACTACTTCACCACGCCACGTTACTACCAGTATCTCAAATTGTTATGATGTCTCTTGAATATTTAAATGTAATTTGTTAATCAATTACTTGCTTTTAGTATTGACAACGGTCTTTATAGTTTTGACGACAATTACCTCTTATATACACTTTCCTGAGTTAAAATTGAGGTTTCTTGCATAATAATAAAAACAATGGTAGTATGGTTTATTTTTTTACAGTTGGAGTAGCTTTTTTTAAGATGTTATTGAAAGTTAATTAATGCAAATTTAATGGGTTGATTTTTTCAATTTAAAATTCAATTTATTAAGCAAATCTATCTCGTATAGAGATGGGTTTAAAAAGCATGGTAGCGTGCTTTTTGCTTTCATTTTTTTATACCATGGTATCATTAAAAAATATTGTGTTTCACTGGCACAATTCAATTAAATTTGCTCGCAGTAAAAGACAATAACGAAGCTCTATTCCAAATTAATTTCATTACTTCTCCTTTACGAAGTTCACTTGGACTAACGTTTCGGTTGCAGTTATTACTTCTTTTAAAAATATTTCCAATATATATATATATATATCTTATTGGTTTTTTTCGCTTTAAACATTTAAACGAAAATATATATCCGTATTAGCACACCTAACTGACCAAATAATGTATAATCTGAATTCCATCTTTCTTATCGTTTCAAACAGCCCGGCTCTACGCCACAATGCCTTCGTCCAGAAAGATACGCCAAATTCGACGTTCCAAGCAGGGGCGTGCATCAGGCCCAATTAAGCCCATCCACAGTGCACAATCTTCGTCGAAATCCTCAGAACCATCAGAAGTGGAAACATGTTTCGAAGAGCCCATCACTTCCGTAGATAAGACTAAGAAAAGTACTAATGACGTTTTACGAACCGATGAAAGTAAGTTTCTGCAATTTTGAAGTTACCTTAATAAAATAGATGCTAGTATGGCCTTTAATCCACGTGTATTTTAAGTATTAGCACTCGACGTGATTATTAGGTATGGGAATAGAATTGTGAATCCAGTTGTCTTTCCGGGCCTAAAACATATGAAGATTTTTTCCCCACCCCCTAAACATTCTAACTTTACAATTACTTATTAACTTATTTCAACTGAATTAGCACTCACAGATATATCGAACGATAAATTTCCAATTTAGCTATGAACAAGCACATGAAAAAATCCACCCCCCTGGTTGTCAGACTAGGATGAAACTTGATTGAACTTTTCTTGTGGAGCATTGAAGCAAAAGGGATTGAAAGAAATGCAAATAAATTTGTTCAGTGTTTGCGAGGTCTAACGCTAGAATAGCATGCCTTCTGCGTGGTCTACTTAAAAACGAGGCGTTAGATTAGTCATCTATTTTAGAGCACACTCACAACATGTTAGGTTACGACACAGAGTGTGTCTTTTGAGTTTTCGAGGTTTGAGTGTGAGAAATCATGCGAGAGAGAGAGAGAGAGACGATGCCTCGCACTCCATGTTTCCTTGCAAACAAACACGACCTTTGGATACACCCCTTGTCGCGCATTTCCGGCAACATTTCTCTCCCATGTCGCCAAAACTATCAAAAAAGGGGTAGACTACATTGGTGTAAATAGACATCAATAGTGCCTTAATTTCTACTGATTATTTCACACTTTAGCCTATCGAATTATGAGATTTATATGCAATCTGATGGGATCGATTAATTATCTACTTTCATATTAGCAGAAAGCTGAAGCGCTTTCAATGATTATAAATTAGTAAGTTGAAAATAGTCACCACGCTTTGGTGAATTCAAATTTTAATTTTGCTGCCACCATAAAAGCCTTGATTTTGTTTAAATCTAACCTGAATGTGGGTGGTCTTTTCCGCTTATGAGCAAAGCTTCAAGGGCTCACTTGTTGGGCTCTTTTTTCAATCATCTAAAGGGTCATAATTTTTACTTCTAAATTTGGGCATTTATGTGATGTTAAAAAAAGATATGAAAAGTTCTGTTCTCTTGCTTAATCGCTTCAAAAATAACTTCAGGTTGGCACAAATCCCTTGGCACCAAGGTGAGTACATTTGGTCAGTTGCTAAGGTGACACTAGTTTGCTCATATTGGCAGTTTTCGTGCACGTTTGCTGAGTTAAAGTGCCGGCACGCAACTATAAACAAACACACGTACGACAGTTCAATTTCGATGAACTAAATCTCGCAATAGAGAGAGAGGGGGGAATTAGAAAAGTTGTCGACGAGGGACATGCAATTTGCTGTGTGTGTGTGTGTGTGTTTGTGCACAGAGCGGGGCGTCACCCCACAAGACACGTTGCTCAATTCAGCTCAAAATGGTTGCTGCCCTGAAATAAACTGTTATATTTTCCTTTAAAGTTTGGGGAGGGGGTTAGATTATTAAGAATTATTGCTTTAAAAATCAAAGTAACTACGATTGCTACTCAGTTTCCATCAAATCAGGTCCCAGTGGAAAATTTGAAGGTTATAATGCTTACTAATCACTTTAAAATCGTTCTTGACTTTGGTATTTGGCAATGAAATTTATCAGAATTTCCCATAATTGGATTAACGAATGCATCAAAACTTACCTAGTTTAAATTTAAATTAATAAAGGCCTAAATTAATTACTTATTTTTGAGCAAAATTTGGAGATTAAGTGCTGGATTTAGGTTAAGTTATTGCTTCACCAACTGATGTTCCACTTTAAAAGCATCCAATTTGGCCTACACACCAGAGGAATTTCTGTTCATTTGATTATTGGGAATCCAAGTCCATGACAAGGTAATATTAGGAGTTTTAGTATGTAATTCGGATAGGCGTGTGACTCGCAACCTTAAATGACCTCACACATTTTACGGTGCTAAGGCAATACGTACTGCATCTTCTACTATTATGCACGCCTGAAAAATTATAACTAATTCAATGTGCTAAAAATACAGTTAAGATACTTCTGATAGAATATGTAGTTGATTCGTTATGAGAACTCCAATGTACATGGAGAGATTTAGCTGACCTATCACATACTGTTAATTAGCATTTGGCAATAACTGCGGGTTATTTGGAAGCGAGTGCTATCGATTGAATCAAGATATATTCAGGTTTTAAGGTAGTTATTAATAACTTCATATTCCCAGCCAATTAAAAAATACTTAATTCATCTCGTCAATGCCTGCTACTCAGGAATTTTGGCAATCCGATGACCATATTTTGTCAGATTTATATAACTCTGTTAACATGTAGATTTCGTCAAGATTTATGGGTTTTTAAAAATCAATAAACCGATAATTATTATTTGGGTTTTTTAGTTAATGAACACGGTACGCAAACAGATAAAGTTCCTACCCAAGGTCTTTCAAGATCAAGATCATACAATCACAGCTTCCGAGCAGCAGTAAGTAAACCCACCTCCACTTCTTCAACTGATCCACCTCCTCCCCCGGTGCCTCCCAAACACTCCTCTGATGTAACCAATCCACCAATTCCCACACGACGACTCAAGGCCACATCTCCAACTTCTGATAGCCGAAGGACCGCAAGGGGAGATCGATCTCCCCGTCGGTTATCCAGTCCAGCTCCATTATCACCAATTGTCAATTCCGATTCCCCTCCTCCTAGTGATTTTACTTCCACGACTGCGGCGTCACAACACAAAGCTTTCGAAGACTTCATGAGGTTAGTATGATAGTTAACAACCTTATTCTGGCAAATATAAGTCACGGATACCATATATAGCCGTCCATCATCGTAACATGGCTGGCCTCTAACTGAGATAAAGCAATAATATATATATATTAGATCTTTATTGGAGAGATGTCATTAGGGATTTCATTAGTCGAAAACCACTTCATGGTAGATAAAAACCTGTCCAATTGGATCCACAGCAATGCAAATAATCGTTCCCAATATCTATAATAGAACATTTTATAATCATGAAATAATTTTTTGATATTAACCGATCATGTAGAGTTTGGAATAAATTCGACAGTCAAATGGAAAAAAAGTTGGTAAAAACAAACTTGAATGGATTAAAAATAAACTAAGTTGGCAAGTAAATTGCTTCATTATCAAAGAGCTTTATATAAAAAAACGGACACAACGATCAATGCCTTTCAAGACAGCGCTCCATACACGCATAATAGTCTACCTAGTTAAAATCTGGGAAGGTCAGAGACAAGACCTGGTGGGGAACCGAATCCTGCTACCGCCGCAATACACATCACCTATTACTGGCTATTTTCATTCGTTTCCCGGTCTCATCTAGTAAAGTGGTCAGCAATCTCACATGGGCTTCTGAATTCAGCCTACTCTCCTCTTTCAACAAACACCAATGGAGGCAGCACATCTAATCACACTAGAGGTCAGTGGAGGTGGTAGAGAAGAAGAAAAGGCGGAAGAGGAGGGTGGGGGTGGGGGTGGGTGAGTCACATGCAAAACAACGCAAGTTTTGGGGAAGAGAGTCTGTGTGGCTCAATGAGTTTCCTGCGCACCGTATGAAGGTCAAGTCATCTGTTGTTGTGCGTGTTGTGGTCTTCATCTTGGCAAACTATTTCCTCACTGAAAATAACCACTCTGTTTGTGTCTCAGAAGGAAAGTTCACTTTATTCAGAAGTTTCTTCTCCTTTGTCAGGTGATTATCCTATAAATCAGGTGTGAGAGATGTTGAACTCTGTGACAGTTGATTGTGTGGGCTTGTAATAGTGAATGTCTTCATTGAGTGCAATTTCTGTGTTGGAGATTGGAACATTCACTTGTCTGTGTCGACAATGCCCGAGCTGCAATACCCGCGTGTTTGGACACTTCTTGTGCATCATGTTTTTGAGTGACTCTGGAGTTCGATCAGCCCAATCCGATCAGCAACCTCATCGTCTCCATTGCAATGTTCCACTCCATATTGGTTTGTTGATGGAGCAATGGGCAGAAACCATTACCTCCTCATTTTAGTGACCACGCGAGTCATCATTATACACCTTATTTTCTTTTATGATTCAGTTGCATTCCAGTTAAAATCCTTTATCTTTGTCACCACAATCTTGGAAGAAAACGGATTTGATCTTCTAAAGGAAATTTAGTGAATTTGAAAATAATTACCACGCCAGTAATGCTTGTCCATAATCCCCTGTGTATATGAATGAAAAGTGAAATTATTTCCAAATTACGCTACTTGTTCAAAGTTGAGGAACTACGGAAATATCTGCTCGGGTGCTTCTGTCAATTGCGAGTTAAACTTTTATTATTTCCTGCTTTAGAACGACTTTGTTTGTTGTAAAATCTACATCCGGGTAATGAATACAACTTTTCAGTTGTTTTAAGTAAAGTTTTTTGCTTGGAATTCGTTTATTAAGGTTTCAAATGAAGAAAAAAACATATGGTGCCTATTTAGCAGCGGTCGAGTGTCCATACCTTATCGAAGATTGTTATTTAAACGCACGATCTGGCATCTTTCAATCCCAATCTAGGCAAAAATCATATAACGGCATCGCTCTTACCAATTGACATTTGCCAACTAACCCTGCTCTCCGAAATTTCCTCTGAGCCTTCATCTAATCTGTAGCGGATTGCTACTTTATTAAAGCCTGACTGACTCAGAAATCTCTATGGCAGAATCTCCTACATCTAGCTAGACTCCCAGAACCAGCTAAGCTATAGCCCAGCTATAAAGGAAACAGACGTGTAGCACGGTGCACGTTTATTCAGTACGGGTACTGCGGATAAAGTGTGTACACGCATGGAGCTACTCATGATCAGGATGGGGGATTAGGTTAAACAGAGGTTAATGATTTGTCACTGTTTGTACGGTCGCTGCACACAGAGTTGTACGGCCGCACCTCCCAACCCTGGCGAGCAGACATGCGGGCATACGATGACGCACACAGCGATAACGTGTACAACAAATCTAC